TAGATAGGAAATTTGGAAAACATTCTTTTTGAGAGGCTTAGTACAGCCCTCAAACATCCTACTCAGTGTGAATCTCCATCCTTGGAGTTTTTTCAATATTTGGTTACACAAAGCTATGACTGACCCGGTCTAGTGTTGGCTGTAGCTGTGCTTAGAGTAGGTCGTTGGCCTAGATGACCTCAAGAGATCTCTTCCAACTGGCATTGGTGATTCTGTGATTTCTCTTCCCTCCTAGAAAGTGATCTTGCTTCTGTTAAAAAGTACCAATGTTATGGACAAGAACTGAGTACAAATTCAGCAAATTCAGCAAGCATTTCTTTTAAAGTCCATTCCAAAATCTGTGTGGATCTAATATTGGTTAAAAAAAAAACCCAAAAAACCCCAGTAGGATTAGTAATGCTTACACTAAATACAAACACAACAGTTGCAAGATGGAACGGTTGTAAATGCTAAGTGCTTTAATATGAAGTATGAACTAGAGGGAATCAATCTCAACTTAACTTTCTGTTCTTTTTTCCAGAAATCTGTACAGTGGTCTCTGCCTTACATTGTGTTTGGAGCAACTGGTCTTCTCTCTGGACTCTTAAGTTTACTGTTGCCAGAGACCTTAAACAGCCCTTTGCTAGAAACTATTTCAGACCTGCAGGTATGCTCATATTGGAGGCTGGGTGATGAAGCCATGTCACTGCAAGCCCTAGATGGCTCACAGGTATATTCATTATTTTTTTTCCTAGTACTTTTCTGTTGTGTTTACTTCAGCTGTCAGCTTGAATATGCCACTCTAAATTGATTAGGATAGTGATTCTTGGCCAGTGGAGTAGAGGCCCCGAGGAGATACAGAAGACAGTTTAGTAACCTTACCATTACATCTGAAACATGGACTGGAAATGCAGACTGAAAAATAGCTGGATTAATCCATCCCTTCAAGGCCAAAAGCTTAGTCCTTTCCTTTGGGGTAAAGGACTCAGCAGTGCCTGTGCCTCTCTAATCTCTTAAGTTGGATTGCTGCAGCATGCTTCATGCAAAGCTGGCCATTGAAGTTTCTGAGAAGCCTTAGACGTTAAAGGAAACAGAAGCCTGTTTGTGAAGGGCTCTTCTCAAAGGCAGCAGACTCTACTTCTGCCCTGACCTGCACTGACTCTTCTGCAATGTCAGTTGTTAGGTCTAGCGTAGAGAGTCTTTAAATGGATTAAAGCTAGGCTAACTTCTGAGATCTGTCCCACTGTTGATTCTGGGATATGAGATTAGTTGAAAACACTGGCACTACAAAATTCTCAGGCATAAGCAGGAATAAATGTGGTGGTAGGATGTTCTTGAGGTTTCTTTAAATGTTGTTTTTTTCACATCACTTTATACTTCATTTTGTCAAACTCCTGGACACCTCTTGAAGTATGTACTTCCAGTCATGTGGAGGTTTTTTATACTGCTGCTCCTCTGTGAATGGAGTGGGATTAGAGAAGAGTAGCTAGAGAGTCGAAAGCGGATGTTTGAATTTGGGTAAGGTTTTAATATTTAAATCCTGGTCCCAGAATTCTAAGTATCACTGTTATCAATGTACTAATAAAAACTGAATAAGTGGTCAGAAGACTTGAAGGGCAACGCCTAACAAAAAAAATGTTAGTTGTCCTATTAGGCTGAGATGAGACAGGATCCTTGTAACACATTTTACTTTCCTTTGATTAATTTTTGGTCAAGCAGACTGTTATTCACAGGTAGTCATAAACTTATTTTCACAGAAATCGGGAGGCAGAGTAAAATTGATTTCTAGAATCAGAGCAGTTACTGCCTTTCAAAGGCTTCAACGTGTTACTTTGTTTACCAGTTTTAGCTGTAATAATTCTTGACAGGACAGCACAGTTTAGTGACAAAAGCACCCTTGAAGAAAGGTTGAAAGAGGCAGTGCTGTGACAGTTACATACTTTAGTTACTTTACATGCACATTTTATAAACACTTTTAACCATTCTGGGTAGTGTGTCATGGCACCACATTCTTGCTGTCTGCACAAATCCATCATGTACATTTGCATCAAGTTTACACCAGATGTTATTTTGGTAATTGCATCATTGTTATATCTTAATTGTGCATGTGGCTTACTAATAAAAAACAGTTCTAGCAAACAGTGCAGGTGTTACAACTTGGAGAGAAAGTCACATTTTTCTTTTCCTTTCTAACCAAGAAAGGTCAATATTGTCCATTGGGGTGACTAGTATTGTCAGTCTATATTTGCACAACTTGGTTCACTTGTGTCAAGCAGCCTTCTCAGTTTAAATCTTCCCTGCTTGTACTTCTGCAGGCTTCTTAAAAATACCAACCAGCACAGGATCCACAAATGAAAATTAAAAAAAAAAAAAAAAAAAAAGAGAATGTTCTTCAGGAACACTTTCCCCCAAATGGATTAAAATTATTGAATCCAAATTTGAAAACAAAAGTTATCGGTTCAGGCCTGAAGTAATCCTATAACTTCAGTGAAGTTATATCTGGAATGTCTGACACATCAGGGTTTTATTTGAAAGCTCACAAAGAAAGGGCTGATAAAATGGAAAGCTGTTAAACATTAACCCTATTTGACAAGGCTGTGGAGCGGTCTTATGAAGCAGCTGTAAGAAAGATGTAGAATTTATTTGGCATACCCTGAATTCCTTCTGTGGAATCCATTGTCCTGTTGTACCACTTCAGGATAACATGTGTTCTGATTGCCCAGAATGGAGTTTTTGTCCCTGTTGACATGCATGAATATGATATTCAAGTAGGACAGCATCCAGTGATAGCCTGACTTTCATCAAATAACTTTAGAAATCCAGAAAAAAGCATAACATGAATCCCTTTATATCTTCTGACAGGTCTTAGTGTTCAGACTGTTTGAAATTCCTTTGCAGTTAATGCACAAGGCCGTAGCAAAACTCCTCTGAAGACAGATCTAAAGCTACAGATTTTGCTTGCATGGTACTGTCAGTCAAGAATGTGATTTCCATTTCTCTCATTTTGCACCCTCTCTCACACCCTTCTTCGCATACGACTAGGCAGGCAGAAGCCTTAGGGTGGATGCAAGCATACTGGAAAAAAAAATCCTAAATACTCAAACTAGATGGAGTTTATACTAGCAAGAGAATCTTTAGCTGAAATAATTTCATAGAATATCTTAAGTTGGAAGGGACCCATAAAGAAAGAGTTTGACTCCCTGCTCCTTGCAAGACTACCTAAAACTAAATCATATGACTAAGAGCATGTTTGACTTGTATCAGTTCCATGGAAAAATACTACACTGGCCAAATAAAAATCAATTAGCTGTAATAGCTTACTTTAGTTTGGGTATATGATATAAATTACATTGTTAAAAGGACTCTGGCTAGAGTAAGTATGCCTATAATAGGGAGTTTACTTTCTGAATGTATGAACTGGCAATGTTTCTTCCCTTTTCCGTAACAGCTTTACTTAGTGTTGCAGGGTATTCTTTATAATTAAAAACTTGCATAGGAAAATGCCTATGCTACATGTGGAGAAGTAATAATTCAGGATGGAGAAGCTTTTACCTAATCAAGTAATCTGTGTGTTCTGAGCCTCTGTTTCCAGTAGTTCACCATAGATTAGAGACCTTAGACTTAAATTAGTAAGAAAGCTGAGTAGATTATAACTTCAGAACCATTCTAGCCAGTCTGTCTCCTGGGGTATGAATCCTGTAGTGTACTGAGGGAGCAGAGAAAGTCCATCTGCTAGAAGCCCATCTATTTTAATGAGGTTTTGAAGAATCGAGGACACAAATCTTGATTCAGTGTCTTTTACAAAGTTTTAATAAAGTAATTTGAGCTGTCTTTTTTTTTTTACTTTACCAGCATTCCAACAGAGTTACAATGGCTCATGCTTACATATTTTGAGATTGATTTAGTGGCTTCTGCACTAACCAATGACTTCATTTTTGTTTCTAGTCTGGAGACAAAGACAGTTCTGCAGGGAGTGGCAGTGAAGACGAGGAGTTTTATGATGCTGATGAAGAGACTCATATGATCAAGTAATGAAAAGAAGAAACACTGGCCTGCTTTATGCCTTTTCTTACTTGTCCAGCTGGAATTTGAGTACTGGGGACCTTGCCTGTTAGGGAATGTAACTGGGCAAATGCCTGTGTTTTTCCTGACTAGGAGAGGTGTTTGAGTACTGTTCAGACTAATTACACCACTGATGTTCTCCATACGAGACAGCTGATCACATTCTTGTGGTTCAGGATGACAGTGCATGGACCACATTTGAAGCCAGGTGAGACAGCAAGGATGGGATTATATATTTCTAAAGCGTAGGAAATTACCTAGGCTTAGATAGATTTGGACAGACCATCAATGCACATGTTTATTTTATTTTCAAGGTGGTTGATTTTGATTTAGTATAAATTGATGAACTTGAAAACATCCCTTTTTTTTTTTCTGTAAAGTGGAAGTGGTCACTGAATGTGCTGTGTGCTTCTCCAATGGGAAAAAATTCCTGAAATTGTATGTTAAAATGGCTTCTGCATATTGAATAGGGGAGAGGAAAATATGAACATAAGGTTTCTCTTTCTGCACATAGACACCTGTATAGAGTTACAGGATGCAGCTGGTTACTCATGAGCTGTGCACAAACTTAGTGATAATAGAAAGCCAGGAGGAAGAACTACTGAAGAGAGCAACCACAAAGCCTGCAGACATAAAGGACATTGCTGTTTTTTTTTCCCTTCTTTTCATCCACCAACCATTTTCCTGGGCTACCTTATACATAGGTTTGCCACATCTTCCCCACATCTCAGCACTGCTATTTATAGCTTTGCTTACTTTACTTTGTCCTCATTTTGCCATAAACACTGAAGCTCAACAAATTCTCTGTGCAGTGAAAAAATTCTGTGAAGGATGTAATTTCATGGGTAAGATATAAGTGAGAGATATTTATCACATACTGTGTAATGTGAGATGTTAGAATATATAGCTCATTTTTGTGGACCTATCTATGTTTTTATTTCTGAAAGAAACTTAACTCTGAAGGAGTACAAGGAACTATGAGTTGCTGTTACATTTTGGGCATTATTGAAGCTGCTAGTATTTATTTTAAATTCTTGCATGTAGATAAAGTTGGTTGTTTTTTTTTTAAAAGGGCAAACCTCTTTGAGACAGCATTGGTTACTTGATGTTGTTTCTTAACTAGGTGCTTACTCACGCACCTGGTTTACTTGACCTTGTTGAGGAAGTCAACTTTACTCTCCTGTTTACACTGAACTTTGTTTTGTTGCTGATTGATTCTAAATAAATAAAACCTGCTTACTTAGAAGGAAAGGGTGATAAGCCTGGCAGCATTAGCATGCTGCTAAGACCTAACAGTTGTTTTTAGGTGCTTGCTGCCTCTGTCCTTCTCTGGACAGCTGGATGCAGTAAGTCACCTGAAATGCAGACAGGAACTGTTAGCCTTCCTCTCTCCATAGTTCTACTGTCACTATCTGCTGCTGGCAATCCTGGTCATGCCACAGAACACATCAACATAATTTTACGGAAAACAGTAGGATGCTGTGGCTGTTCAGGTGGAAGAGATCACCCTTTGCAGGACCAGAGCTGGATTTTATTGTAGTCTTCAACTTATAATTAAACTTACCTCTCCACTTCTATTTCATAAGTATACATATGCAAAATTGCAAAAACAAGAGTGAAGAAAACATCAGCTTTTTCTTTTCCACAGAAGTTGTTGCTTTCTTTTTAACCTTAAATCTGTCTCATTTTTGCACCTGTGGAATTTTAAAGGGCAACATTTTTTTTGTCAACCATAGGAACTCTCTATTGTTACTTTCCCTAGCCAGCTAATTCAGAAGTTTTATAGGAGAGAATCCCTTCAGGAGGAGCTCAGCAAGGTAGTATCAGGCTTCTTACAATTACTTACTCTCCCCCTTTGTGTTCAGAAGTCCAAAACCATTAGGTGCATTTAGTTTCTTTTCAGAGAGGTTTGTTTTGTAAGAACTGACTTTCTGATACAGAAACCTGTAGGATCACTTTTTTCTTACCTATAGAGTGTAATGCTTTATAATATTGAGATACTTGTGCTATATATAGCATTCACTGTTCAGCCTGGAGAAGAGAAGGCTCCAGGGGTACCTTATAGCAGCCTTTCAATACTTGAAGGGGCCTACAGGAAGGCTGGGGAGGGAATTTTGACAAGGGCAAGGAGTGACAGAACAAGAGGTAATGGCTTTAAACTGGAAGAGGGTGGATTTAGGTGAGATACTAGGAAGAAGTTCTTTCCTGTGAGGGTGGTGAGACACTGGCAGAGGTTGCCCAGAAAAGTTGTGGCTGCCCCCTCCCTGGAAGTGTCCAAGGCCAGGCTGGATGAGGCTTTGAGCAACCTGGTCTAGTAGAAGGTGTCCCTGCTGCTGGCAGGGGGGTGGAACTGGATGAGCTTTAAGGTCCCTTCAAACCCAGACCATTCTGTGATATGTAAGCAGTCTGCATAGGCCCAATTAATAAACTCAGTGTTTGGGCAGTAAGTTTGTCCTGGGGAGCTACTGGAGAGCAGAGGCTGATACAGCACTAGGTGTATCACAGTTTGACATATTGTAATGTTTAAGAGTATGAGACCCAATATCCTTGTTATAATTGAGTGAAGTATGACTACCTTATCCCACATTTTTTTCTAGAGTAGCTTTGTATACTAAGCAGCCTGTACTGTTAACTGTTTTTTGTGTTGCACAGGCACCAGGATTTGTACACTTAAAATGGGAATTCTTTCCCTGGATTCCTTTGTTTTTGCAGCTGTGATTTTTTTCAGCCAGCTCACTTAGTGGGGTTATGCTAGAGATGAGAGAGGTTTTCCCATGGTGCTGATTAGTCAGATCTTAATATTTTCTCAGGTCAGGTATGTTTGGGATTTTGCTATCTGAAGACCTCACAAGGGATACTTGAATACAGCTAGGAGTGAAGGAGAGTGGCAGGTCTTGTGAGACTGTGTAGAAGAGAATTAACTAGAGGAAGTAAAAAGAATAGAGAATTCAACAGAAGCACTTTAGGGCAAGGATAAGTGAAAAGACAAAATAGTAGCCATTGGGTGGAAATACTCTTCTTGCTGTTTGTATTGACTTAAAGCTTCTTTCAGAGACAGAATTGGTTCCAGGATGTTCTGTCAGGAACACCAGTTTTATAATTTCCTTTTTAATGTCTGTTTTGTTCAGCACTACTATTTCAGTGATGAAATGTTTCTTTTGATCAATACAAAATGTGGCACACTTCCATTTCCTTTTGGACTCAGCTTTTCTATGAAATGGCATGTCATTAAAATAATTAAAATTTGTAAAGTCCTCTTATGGAGAATGCTATATAACTCGTCATCACTTTATTTGCCATCTTCTCATTAGCAAGATAGGAAGATTAGAATTATTTGATGCATTTTTGTCACACAACTTCTTATGAAGTGATACTTCAGCCTTCTAAAAGGATTTTACTATCTGGCTATTTTTGGTAGGCTAAAGAGAACAGAATAGGGAAGTGATTTTACAAGTTTATTTTTAAAAGTACTTCCCCTGAAAGCAAAGCTAGTGCTCTCCTTTTAGGGATGGGGAAAGTGCTGTGCAGAGACTCCTGGACACACCAGAAATTTAGGAGCTCTGTGTTAAGGGAGGGTCACAGGTGACTCAATATTCAGGTCAGGGTGCTGAGTGAAGAACATGTCCACACCTCTCCAGAGGCACCTGATTAACATGGAGCAGGTTGTAGCTAGTTGCTACTTTTGTTACAGTCAAGGCTTTTAAGAATTGCAGCCACATGCTCATCTGCTCACAGTGCAGAATCCATAGCAGGGTTTCCAGACTGTGAGGATGTCCTGAGGTTAGCAGAATGCCCTTTTCAGAACCATGGGGAGTGTAGGTGAGCCATCCATTTTCCAGCCTATTTAACTTAAGCATATAAAAGCAGTTTGCAAGAAAATGTTTTTGTTGTACTAAGGCAAAGGGAAAAGTGAGGAAGAAACTTACTCTTCCTAGAGTGTGTTAATGGAAACATTTGAGCTAAAACTCTTGTTCCCAAGCTTTCTGAGAATCACCGAATGCAGATTGGGTCAGTATCTTGTTTTAGCTGTAGGATGGTGTGCTATGTATACCTTTTCCCACCCTGTTAGAGCTTCTTTGATCACGCTCTGAGACAGCTGAATCTAGGCATCTGTGCATGTAAGTCATGAGCCTTGCAGTAAATGTGTCAGAAAAGCCCAAGAGCTGTCATTTGATGGTGGAAATTAGTCTGGCCTGACGCACATAATGCCTGTGTCAGAAATGTCTATATTTAGCTGTTTACTAAACAGAAGACTTAAGTATAGCTGTATTTTGAGTTTCATTGCTTGTGTCTTACTGCAAGATGTATTAAGTGGAAGAAAGAAAGAAAACCTGTATGGCAGATCTAAATGTAGAATTAGAGGGTGAACAAATTTATGCAGAATTTTTCCATGCTGTGTATTTTTAATGCCTTGTCCAGACTATTGTAGCCTTCAGATTTTCTAGGTGCTACTGTTAAAGTCTAATAGATCTGGGTAAAACTCCCACCCTGACAGTCTGAACTTACTGAACTCTCTCATCTTATTTTTGGTACTCCTTGCTGTTTCTGTCATTCTGAAAAGAGCTCCTGTATTCCCTAATGGGGAGCAGATTTTTCTGTTGTGATTTTAAGTGCCTGTTTTATAAAAGTAGTCTTTAATTTCCTCAGCCAACTTGATATGGGACTGTGTGTAAAGTAACATCAAAGAATTGGATTATATAAGTGCCAAAGACAGTTTTTGCTGGAAAGCAATGATCCAAAACTAGTCCTAGCTGCATTCATTTGGAGTTCTTCCTTGCAGCCTGCTAAAACTGGTATTTACCAGCATCTCCAGAGCTTTAGGGGACAGAGTTAGTTACCTTTGTTTGCTTGTCTTTCATTGCTCAGTTCACTTAAGTAGCTTTTGCTTCTGAGAAACCAAAGAAATTAAATGAAGGATTTAAGACAAAGTGTAGGTTTTATAGAACAAGCAGAATTTACACCACGTAGCTGTGAGA